AACGCTCTTTTCTAACAGAAGCTTGTAACGCACATGATATCAGTCACAGCATATAATGACTACTAAAAATTAAAAATTATATATAATTTTCTTTCAAATAAAAGGAAAATTAAAAGGGAGTTGAATCCAAGCAGCTTATTTGATAATACAATATAATATAATATGTATAATTTATTTATATTTCAATATTTATATATTTATTTCAATATATATATATATTTTTTTTTTCAAGAACTAAATTTTAAAAAGCAGAGAGAGGGAGAGACTAGCTCAGCGTCTAGTAGATTTGCAGTCTCAGAGATTGAGCGGTGAATCAATGTGTGCAGAAATGAGCAGACAGTGATGAGTGAGTGACTGACTGTAGACTAGCGCAAAGGCAGATTTACTGAGGAGCGATAAGATGAGAGAGATGAATATCAGCCACTCAGAGCATGAGCTCTCGCTGTCTGCTGGTTAATTGGTTAGCTGATGAACAGAACTCTCACCAGTGTGTGTGTGTGTGTGTGTGTGTGTGTGTGTGTTCAGACCGTATGCTGTTTCACTCTCTCTTTCTCTCACGGTGCTCACTACTAAGCCGGTAAGAGTTTAAGAAGGGTGTGAACAACACAGTGTAGTATTTAAATTAGGAACAATAGAAATTAAACAATATTTTAATTCTTTTAAAATGTATTCCAATATCTAAATGAGATGTACTGTATGTGAAAATATTCATTCGGCTCTGACTGAAGAACAACTTGCAAGAATCTGTTATCTGCAAGGTGTTCTGCTCCTCTTAACTAGTTATCTTCCACCTTTGCCCTGCCAGCAGACGTCTGACTTACACTAAAGTTCACCTGAGACCAGATTGTGTTTGAAAGACACACATTATAAAGCCAAAGATTAGTCAATATGAAACACAGACGATATTTCAACGATTTCAAGCCAGATGAAGCAACCTACAAAGAACGTACCATGGTATTACCATGTTTTTTAAACATGGTTCAGTGGCAGTACCACAGCATTCTTTGAAGCACAATATAGTACCATTTAAATCCCATGGTGTATTATTATTGTAATAATCCAATACCATGGTATTACATGGTACTCCAGAGTAAGGAACACAATAGCATCAGCATAAAAAACAAGGTATAGTACAATAATGTTAATACTATGGTACAATAATGCTAATACACCATGATAGGTGAGTGAGACCCTGGAGCACAAAAGCAGTCATAAGCAGCACGGGTATATTTGTAGCAATAGCCAACAATACACTGTATGGGTCAAAATGATCGATTTTACTTTTATGCCCAAAATCATGAGGTTATTAACTATAGATCATGTTTCATGAAGATATTTTGTAAATTTCCTACTGTAAATGCATCAAAACTTAATTTTTGATTAGTAATATGCATTGCTAAGAATGCATTTGGACAACTTTAAAAAGCAATTTTTGCAATATTTTGATTTTTTTTTTGCGCCTTCAGATTCCAGATTTTCTAATAGTTTATCAGTGGAAAGCTTATTTATTCAGCTTTCAGATGCTGCATAAATCTCAATTTCAGAAAATTGATCCTTACGACTGATTTTGTGGTCCAGGGTCACATATTATGGCATTTATATGGTATTTCAGTGTCCAAAATACCACGATTCTGTAGCACACGTTTGTAAAGGTCGTTTGCTTTTAGTCCAAGGACGAAATTACTTCATCACCGGAAAATAAATGCCAGAATATACAGAAGACGAAATAGTTGCAGCATCAGAACGAGGTCGCCGATAGTGTCTGCTGCAGAGGACCCTGTTCAGATCCACGAGACGCTGAAGATCCTCCGCAGACCCGTTCAGACCTAACGCCGTCTTTAACGCCTCTGCGGCTGGATTCCACTGGTTAATAAACCCGACTAACGGACAAACGGTGCGAAAACCGAGCGCGCACCGCTGTGTGATGAAAAACAGATGTTCGCGCGCGGAACGCGGCCGTTAGAATGAGCGAAGCTGTCAAAGAAGCGCCTTCGTTTTAATCCTACCGTTACCGTTTGCCGGTTTGATGGATTATAAACGCCTTCTAGCGTCACGCAGCGATGGGGAACCGTGTTGTGCCACATAAGGGGAAAACGCTCCGCCGCATCACGTTATATGAACCGCTGTACCGTTATTTCTGTTTCTGACCGCTGACACCGTAATGCGGTGACCGATCAAATCATAAGTAATTATATTCTAACAGTTTCCTTATGCAAAACGAATGTGAATATTAATATGATACAAATGTTCGTCAAAGAAATATAAGCGCTTATAGAAAAGCGTAACGTTACATACCGGATCCTGCTGTTTTGTCCCGTTATTCCGGATTATTATGGCTTCACGTGACGTTCCTCCTCCGGTGACAGTGTGAGAATAGTTCAAGCTGCCGGTGTTACTCGCGTTCGTGTGTTTGTAGGAAAAGGAGGGAGTAAAAGCACGACACGACGGGAGGAGCAGGAGGAGGAGGAGGAGAGGACGGTAAGCAGTGTTTGGGTCTCCGCCTGCTGGCGCGTGTCGGTAACGGCGGCCTCAGGTTTCCTTTCTGAGGTAAAAAAAAATAAAAAAAGAAGCGTGCTTACGTCATCGGCGTGACGCAACGCTGCGTGCTTACGTCATCGGCGTGACGCAACGCTGACCTTGAGCGAAACACACGGAAGGATGCGACATCAAGCAGGGATGATGTTGGAGTGCCCTTTGGATTTAGGAAAACAACACACGTACTGTTTTTGTGGTTAAAAAAATAAAAAGAGGAGTTGAATGAATATCACTGATTTAATCATTTAATCATGTAGTTTAGAGTGTGCAGATGTTCATAATGTCGAGAACATGTCCTGGTCATATTGCACTACTAATTTACATTTCGATTTTGCATAAAGAAAATATTAAGCCTATTATTTGTGTCCCTTGGGATTTTTGCATTGTCTTTTTTGCATTAATTTCATGATAATAAGCACTTTTTACCCCCAAATTCTCATTTACATATAGCGAAACTGACTCTCGTAACCACAAAAATGTATGATAAAATACATATACACACTTCCTATGATTTATTATTTTAATTTTAGAACAAATTTTTATATTTTAATGTGAACTGGTTTTATTTTTATTACTAAAATTTCACGTGAACAATACTGCCTTTAATTTATCATTTTAATTAAAAAGTACAACAGTATTGTTGCTATATAAGCCCAATACAATAATAATTTTATATGTAAAATATTTACATTTAATAATTAAATATATGTGTATATGTACCTATGTATTTATATATTATATACTGTATATATAATTATAGGAAATACATACATACACACACACACACACACATACACTCACACACACACACACACACACACACACAGCCTTTAATTTAAAATAAAAAAATTAAAAAAAGAGGAACATCTGGAAACATTTCAGTAATGAGGAAGGGGGGATAAAATGTGCTTGTCCCAAAATAGCTTCATTTTTTTAATGCAAAATGTATAACTATTTATTGAATATAAGTTAACGTTAAATTAATCACATTTTTTATTTGATTTTAGGGTGAAATATGACCTTTTTTGAGAGGATGCGTGGGATTCACCCTCATACATAAAAAATATTTTTGATTGTTTCTTAGTTAAAACACTAAGAACATGTAACAAGTCCGGATGGCTCATTTGGCTCAGTGTAAATGTGCAGCATTGTGTCTCACTACAAATAAAATACATCTGCTGGACACTGTGAGCTGGAGAGGCACAGGAGAGAGAGACAGACTTCTAATGAAGACATCATTCAGACAGCCAGCTGCTCTGAGACCCCGTGACTGTCCTGTGAGACGAGACGTTGTACTGCATGTCTGCGTGTGTCACTGTTGGTCTGCAGTGCTGCGGGTGGGAGTTTATATGTCATGATGTTGGCAGCACAATATGAGTGTGTGTCAGCTGGACTGAGGGTCTGTAGAGCTGGCTGCCGTCTCCAGTCCGACTCTCTTTAGTGATTCCTCATACTTCCTCTTCCCCAGAGTCACTACGTCCTCTACTTCCTCCGCCAAGTCCCGCCTACCACTGTCCACCAGCGCTTTCATCAGCCGCTGCACTGCCCCAGGCCCCGCCCCCTGCTGCGCTCTCGCCCAATGAAAGAGCATCGCCAAAACCTGGGCCCCAAAGTCCCTGAGAAAACAAACACAAGGGGATTTAATTTTTATTACTCTAACTACTACTGCTACTATTACTGTTACTAAAATTATCTGATCTGTCTGAATTTTGAAGTATATAGAGATATAATGAACAAAATTAAATATATAACACAATTAAAGATAATATGATTATAATGATATGATCGATAATGATTATATAACAAAAGCAATGAATAAATAATATAATATTATAACAATTTATATATTTATTTATAATAAATAATTAAATATATGAAATGTTGCAATAAATAAATAAAACTCAAATTAAACACGAGTCTAACTAACAAATGTTTGTATTGATTTATTAACACCTTTAACTCCTGATTATTGATGTAATCCGGAAAAAAAAACCTGCATCGAGGTCATTATCATTAAAAAAAGATTTTTGTTACTTAAAATAAAAAATTGATAACAGAAATGAAATAAAGTTTTAAAAATCTTATCTTAGATAGTTTCTCATTTTCAGTGTTTCAAGAAAACATTTCTCATTTTGATGTATTAAAGTAACTAAAACTAAGATGAAATAAAAATACTATAAATTATATATATATATATACATATTTTTTAAAATACTTAACGACAAAAACACACAACACAATTATTAAAACTTTTAATTAAAATGAAAAAGAAAATGGAAAATATGAAAATATAACTTAAAACAAAATATTAATAAAAACTAATGGTATCTCAAAAATACTCTAACACAGTATATACACACAAAATGATATATATATATTAAAACACACACACACACACACACACACACACACACACACAGCCTTTAATTTAAAATAAAAAAATTTAAAAAAGAGGAACATCTGGAAACATTTCAGTAATGAGGAAGGGGGGATAAAATGTGCTTGTCCCAAAATAGCTTCATTTTTTTAATGCAAAATGTATAACTATTTATTGAATATAAGTTAACGTTAAATTAATCACATTTTTTATTTGATTTTAGGGTGAAATATGACCTTTTTTGAGAGGATGCGTGGGATTCACCCTCATACATAAAAAATATTTTTGATTGTTTCTTAGTTAAAACACTAAGAACATGTAACAAGTCCGGATGGCTCATTTGGCTCAGTGTAAATGTGCAGCATTGTGTCTCACTACAAATAAAATACATCTGCTGGACACTGTGAGCTGGAGAGGCACAGGAGAGAGAGACAGACTTCTAATGAAGACATCATTCAGACAGCCAGCTGCTCTGAGACCCCGTGACTGTCCTGTGAGACGAGACGTTGTACTGCATGTCTGCGTGTGTCACTGTTGGTCTGCAGTGCTGCGGGTGGGAGTTTATATGTCATGATGTTGGCAGCACAATGTGAGTGTGTGTCAGCTGGACTGAGGGTCTGTAGAGCTGGCTGCCGTCTCCAGTCCGACTCTCTTTAGTGATTCCTCATACTTCCTCTTCCCCAGAGTCACTACGTCCTCTACTTCCTCCGCCAAGTCCCGCCTACCACTGTCCACCAGCGCTTTCATCAGCCGCTGCACTGCCCCAGGCCCCGCCCCCTGCTGCGCTCTCGCCCAATGAAAGAGCATCGCCAAAACCTGGGCCCCAAAGTCCCTGAGAAAACAAACACAAGGGGATTTAATTTTTATTACTCTAACTACTACTGCTACTATTACTGTTACTAAAATTATCTGATCTGTCTGAATTTTGAAGTATATAGAGATATAATGAACAAAATTAAATATATAACACAATTAAAGATAATATGATTATAATGATATGATCAATAATGATTATATAACAAAAGCAATGAATAAATAATATAATATTATAACAATTTATATATTTATTTATAATAAATAATTAAATATATGAAATGTTGCAATAAATAAATAAAACTCAAATTAAACACGAGTCTAACTAACAAATGTTTGTATTGATTTATTAACACCTTTAACTCCTGATTATTGATGTAATCCGGAAAAAAAAACCTGCATCGAGGTCATTATCATTAAAAAAAGATTTTTGTTACTTAAAATAAAAAATTGATAACAGAAATGAAATAAAGTTTTAAAAATCTTATCTTAGATAGTTTCTCATTTTCAGTGTTTCAAGAAAACATTTCTCATTTTGATGTATTAAAGTAACTAAAACTAAGATGAAATAAAAATACTATAAATTATATATATATATATACATATTTTTTAAAATACTTAACGACAAAAACACACAACACAATTATTAAAACTTTTAATTAAAATGAAAAAGAAAATGGAAAATATGAAAATATAACTTAAAACAAAATATTAATAAAAACTAATGGTATCTCAAAAATACTCTAACACAGTATATACACACAAAATGATATATATATATTAAAATAACACACATAATTATTATCATTATTGTTGTTTGTATTATTATTACTATTATTCCCATTAAACAATAATGGGAGTAAGTAAAAGAGAATCTTCTGGCAGTATTAAAATAATGAGATTATAAGTTAATAAGGCATGCAAATAAATAAGGCATAAAAGTTTTCATTTATAATGAAAACGGACATAAAATATGGCATTAAATATGCCTTGAAATGAAAAATGATAAGAAATGTCATGACATACGCCTTGAAATAAATGCATTTTGTGCTTTATTTTGTGACTGGCATTTTTTTTTAATGATTGCAACATTTCAGAACTTATTTTCTCATCATTTATTTCCATTTGACTGCTATATTGTTCCATAATAAAATAGGTCATTTGAAATTTAACTTGAATTGAGAGACATTAAAGACAAAAAGACAAACAGACTACAGAACAGACAGAGCGTGCATGCATGCGTGTGAGTGTGTGCCGTCTCCTGCAGTGTCCCAGATGGCTGAGCCAGCAACACAAAACACTCACATTCCCCTCATAAAACCCCTGCTGTCTTCATTCCTTTCCTCCATCACTCCTTTTCACACCGCTTCTCTCCATCTCTAATGATTATGAGTGATTTTACACCAGTACAAACACATCTGTGATGGAAAAACTGAACTTAAGATTTTAAAAGCTCATGAATATTAATGAGGTCATACTGCTCTGGCTTGATAATAAATCCTGGACTCTCCAGTCACAGAATCTAATTAATATTCAAATATTACAAGCTGCAATAAATGTAAACAACAACCTATTTTGGTAGTACAATTTATGTCTAACCTGTTATTACTGCCCTTTTGAAATCTGAAATGATTGCATCATTGAATGCCACAGAAATTGTTAAGGGGATCTGGAGATCACGTGCGCTGTAAAATCTGGAGTAAATCAGTCCTGTAATAAAGACTGAACGTTTGGGCCTGATTAACAGTGCCCTCTGCTGGCTCTGATCTGATGCCCACCTGTGTTGGTTCTGGATGCGTTCCAGCTGGTCGTAGCTGATGCCCAGGTTGATGCCGATATTCTGCCACTCTTGGTTGATGCGTAAGGAGATGGACAGCAGGTTGGTCTGTGTCAGGTAGCCGCTCTCTGGGTCGCCCAGGTTCAGCTCGCCGGAGATGCTCCCATCACAGTCTGCGTTCTGTGTGTACATGATGAAACAATACTCATTCATCTGTCAGAGGTTACATTATAGCCCGAAATTCTGCACAAAATGAATGAAATACGTGATTCAAACTTGAAATATTTTTTTATGAGCTATGTTCAAAACACTAGTGGGAGTGGCCTGTCTAGATAGGCAGCATACTAACTAGAGGGGAACCTTCTGTAATAAGTGTCTGATTTTAAACATTAGTTAATAGTCACTTATAGCAGATGTCCCACACAAGAATCTTGACAATCGCTCAAGGATGATTCTAATAAATTAGCAGGTTGCTAATAAGCACTTTAATTTGTGCATTTTAATTGGAACAATTTTCTTTAATTGCATACAGTGCTTAATAAAGTATATTTAAGTACATAATACAAATATACTTTTTTATGCTTACATAATATTTCAAAATATACATTTATATTATAATAATATAATATGAATTATACTGTTATATATAAAAATTTTATAATATAATATAATATAAAAAATAGAGACATATAGACACATGTGTATGTGTTTCCGTATTTATATTTTTATATATAAACAATTATATATATATATATATATATATATATATATATATTTATATATATACAATTATATATATATATATATATATATATATACTGAAACACAGAATATATATTAATATACATACAGCATTCCTTTTTTTATATAGCAATATAAAAATAATAACATATAATGCAAATATTACCCCAGAACGTAATCAACGTAATGAGCGTTGTTTAAGTTCAGCATACGTGCGTTATCTACTGAACGTAAATAATGCTGATTATGTTGATTAAGTTCTGGGGTACTCTCCAAAATGGTGGAAGACGGAAAACTCAGGGAGAAGAATTGTTGAATAAATTATGTTATTATTGTTTTCTTTGCGCACAAAAATTGACTATTGTATTGGCAAAATGGACTAGTCACATGGACTATTTTACTGATGTCCTTGCTACGTTTCTGTGCGTTGATCGTGGTAATATCCTTGCTGTCTATGCAGGGTCAGAGAGCTCTCAGATTTCATCAAAAATATCTTAAGTTGTGTTCTGAAGATAAACGAAGGTCTTACATGTTTGGATCGACACGAGGGTGAGTAATTAATGACAGAATTTAAATTTTTGGGTGAACTAACACTTTAAAATAACCGTGTCATCCGCAGCTCTTAAACGCAGTTGTCGATGCACCAACCACAAGGCTATCGGTGCCGAATATTTAATTATTAAATATAAATATTTAGTAAATATATTTTAAAGTATTTCTTTTCACTGGGTATTACATTTTGGAGCAAAACTTAAGAGAGATGTCTTATAAAACACAATATAGCATTGTGTGCTTTGGGACAGAATCATAATGTTGTACAGTAGATCTTCTAGATCGCTCACAGGAATCCGGAGAGGAAGTGTCGCCATCCACTGGTTGTCATGACCTTTTCTTTTACTCGCCATTTCCTCTGGAAGATCATTGGGCACTTCACCGCGGTAAAATGACACCTAGAAGGACACACATCTTATTACATTACTTTTGACTTGAAATACTGGGCTGAACATCCAACAACGATGACCCCTGAATGACCCCAAGTCCTGTCTCACCTGTCCTCTCACTGTGCCCTGCTGTGGGTGGGTCGGGCACACGTGCACCTCTTTAATGTTCTTCAGGTGAGAGTAAAAGGTGAATGAGAGTCTGCCATCTTTACAGTCCGGACGGTCTGAGGAAACACATTCCTATTACAATCCGCTAAATAAACTTGAGCTATTATTGTGATTTTAATATGTTTGATAGTAGGCTGCAGTGTTTTCTGTTTTATGTGTGTGTTTCCACCTGCATTGATGTCAATGCCTCTCTCAAAACCGGCAAAAAACTGCTCTCCCTCCAGCAGGACGCACAACTCAGACGGCTGAGGACCTTCATACTGCTCCAACAGAGACACCAACCTGCTTTCAGCCTAAAGAGAGACAAGAACCATGACTGATAAAGGTATAGTATGTCATTTTAAAGAAAAAAAAATATGTATCTACTTCAATGTACATAGCCTATAACTATGAACAAGTTCATAGGTTGACTTCCTGTAAGAGTTTAAACTAGTGCTGGGCAACAATTAATCGCGATTAATCGCATCCAAAATAAAAGTTTTTGTGTACATAATATGTGACCCTGGAGCACAAAAGCAGTCTTAAGTCGCTGGGGTATATTTGTAGCAGTAGCCAAAAATACATTGTATGGGTCAAAATTATTGATTTCAAAAATCATTAGGATATTAAGTAAAGATCATGTTCCAAGTTCCATGAAGATATTTTCTACATTTCCTACTGTAAATATATCAAAACTTAATTTTTGATTAGTAATATGCATTGCTAAGAACTTCATTTGACAACTTTAAAGGCGATTAAAAACTTTTATTTTGGATGCGATTAATCATTGCCCAGCACTAGTTTAAACACCTTGTAAGCACAGAGACTCTTTTGACTTAGTATGCTTCCCCCAGAGTACCTTAAATACAACATAGCAACAAAAGCCCTCACATGAGCTCATACTCTCACCTTGTCCGATGGCAGGCACTGCAGCAGAACCTGCTCTGGGTCGTTTTTTCTCTGTAGCGCCAGAAAACTAACCCAGAACTGTTTCAAGCAGTTGTCAGCTGTTTTGCTTGTAACCATTGCTCTTCAACTGCACACACAAATGCGTAGCATTATTTGTTAGAACACTGGCATGCTGTATATCATTTCATATTAAAGCGCAATAATATATAAAAAAGCTGTGTCTCATTTTGGAGTCTGCGTCCTCCGTACGTCGCATCTGAAGACTGCATGCGTCATCAGGGCAATATTTTACACCTCACAAGGAATAACAGTCAATTTTATTACGGTTACTTTTCTTAACTAAAACATCCTTGATGACGTACGCAGCCTAAAAACGTGATCTTCGGAGGACGCACCGAAGAGTTGTGAGAAAATACGATGCGTGTCAGATCCGAGCAGAGCATGTGAGCGGAATCAGTCAGTGCCGCTCGCTCAACCCAGAATGCCGTTTGGTGATTTGCTTGTTTGAGATCGAGAATCTGTAGAGATCGAGAATAGTAGAGCAGTTATGGAGTTCAGATATTGTTTCAACAAAGTTGCAAGCCTTATACATAAATGTAAAGTAAAAAATCTAAGTTAAGAATGAGCAGGAAGAAGAAACTGAGAGGGAGTGCGGGGAGACTGTTAAAGTTAGTACAGATTCATATTGGAATCTGAAGCGGCACATTGCCAGAAAGCA